ATTTTACATCTTTAAAATACATGTGCTCCTGTAGCTAGAAAATCCACATTTAAGAATTCATCCTAAGGAAATAAAGATGTGCTCGAAGAGTTTGCCCCAAGAATATCAATTGCTATGCTGTGTGTGAGGATGAAATCCCAGGAGGACGTGTCCATGTTGATTGCTGAGTAGTGTCTACATGTGCTCGAGAATGGTTGTTTCAAAGCGGGTGAAAACTTTTCTGAGCATCCCTATTTACTTTGAGTCATATTTTCTTGTGACCTTTCAAAAAGCTGGAAAAGGTCACCAGTGAGGTGTCTCAGCAGCCACCTGGATTTGATCTCCAGGCCCCACTCGAGGAGAGAGCTAACTCCTGCAAGTTGTCCTCTGGGCTCTGAGTGTGCGCACCTTCACACACAAAACGTGTAATTCATTGAGTGTGAACTGCAGGGAGGGAGGGATGGAGGGGGGAGGTCCCAAAGTCTAGTGACACTGTTCTTCCGGTTCTGGTCAGCATCTGCTGGGGTGTTGAACCGCTGGCTGTAGTTTTTCCCTCTGCTCCAATTCCTGCTACTATTTCGGGGGACTCGATGTCCTCCGCATGAACTCTCCAACACCTTAGCTCTTCAGTTCCTTACTGTCCCACTTTTCCAGTGACCTTTTACTTCCTCTCCGGTCCTGTGACTCATCCCAGTGACATTTAGATGTCGTCTTCCTTCGGAACCGTTCGTCGCTAATGCTTCTGTGCTTTCTGCTCAGCTTTGATTTCATATGAAATGCCCATTTTCAATGAAAAGAAGTAAGGAAAAAAGTTGTTCAGAAAATACATCATTTGAAAGAAGAAGAAAAAATAGCCCAATGAGGGGGCTCAGTGGGAAGAGGCACTTGCTGCCAAGGCCAGTGTTGACCTCAGTTCAATCCTAAACTGGCTCCATATGGTGGTAAGACGGCAGATTCCCTGCCGGGTGTCTGTCCTTCGGTCCCCACCAGTGTGATGACATGGGCACGCACACACACACACACCCATACACAAAGAAATAAGCGGTTTTGTTGTTTTTTTAAAGAAAGGAAAGTTAAAACACTGCTGCCCGAGGATTGCCAGTCAGCCCGCTTGAAAACTGTTCAGCATTTTGCCAGAAATGGTTTTTTTATCCGTTGTACCTCCAAAGTTCCTACTTTTTAACTTTGATCTGCCCTTTTTCCACTAAATGATCTGTCTTCCCAAAGTGATAAGCCGTAACTGTATCCTCATTGTTATGACTGAGAAATAACTTGCAGAGTTGTTGTGCTATTATTCTTCAGCCGACTTAAGACGCCTCACCCCCCAGTATGATTGACACTTCTGCTTGGATGGGTCTTTGCTGAGGCAGGCAGTGCTAATACACTATAGAGCAGCGGTTCTCAACCTGTGGGTCGTGACTCCCTTTGGGATTGAATGACCTTTACACAAGGGTTGCCTAAGACCATCAGAAAACACAGATATTTACATTATGATTAATAACAATAGCAAAACTACAGTTATAGAGTAGCAACAAAAATAATTTTATGGTTGGAGGTCACCACAACATGAGGAATTGTATTAAAGGGTCACAGTGTTAGGAAGGTTGAGAACCCCTGCTATGGAGTCTTGATAGCAATCCCTCCCCACCCACTGCCTCAGGACTAGGGTGAAAACTTTCCCCCAAGTCATAACCATCAAAAATAGCTCGAGGTATTGGCTGGGCGGTGGTGGCACACGCCTTTAATCCCAGCACTTGGGAGGCAGAGCCAGGCGGATCTCTGTGAGTTCAAGGCCAGCCTGGGCTACC